TTTTTTTTTTTTTTACAATGCTTTTTACAATTACAGTGTGCTACTTTAAATGACAGAGAATGGGGCAAATTTATAAACATTAAAGCATAAAAGTATATAATTGTAGTGTGAAAATTATAGTAATATTCAATTTATTTTTTTCAATGAAAAAAAATTTACAACAGCTCAATTAATAAACAATTTTAACAGAAAAATCAATGTCAGTGCTTTTATAAAATGATAAGCTTCACATTTCTGCTTTGGTTTAATTATTTCCATTTTAAGTGCCTCATTGTATCCCTTGTGGTAGCAAGCCATTAATTTTGTCATATTTCTATGCCTTTTCATAATATGTGAGTGTAAGTTTAACCTCTCTTATGAATGTCTATTAACAAAATTAAATGGAACAAAAAAGATATTACTTATATTATTATATTACTCTTATTAAATTCACAACGATTGAATCCACATCTATATAAAGAAATAACTTGTAGCTCTTACAATCTTGATTTTTGCTTTAAAAAATGATTTTGTGGAAATCAATATTATGCTACAAATGTATGATTCCTTGAATGATAATGCTAAATGACATATTTAATATAATATCAGCTGAAATCAAATAAACACATTAGCTGAGCCGCACTGATAGGACTAAAAAGGTTGGGAAACACTGGTATAGTCTACACACATTGGGCCCTGGGGAAGTAGGCCCACCCATTAAACCAGCCCTCTAAAACAACCACTAAATCCTTAAAAGTAAAGCGTTCGATTTCTCACTCACTCTAGATTTCTTTGCCTTTTATTTTATGGGTGATTTTAGCCAAGCTGCAGTGGGGTATAGCACACTCCTGAACTCAGAGCCGTTGTCATAGCAACAGAAACCCCACCTGCTCAGTAGCTGTCAGCCCAAGGTTAAGAGCCAATAAACCAGAGAAACATAGCAATTACTGCACAATATAACACACATGCACACGCACACACAAAGTAATCCATCTGTTCCTTCTCCCCAGTTGATCAGTAGCAACATGGGTTTGGATTAAGTTCACCCATCAGGGTCCATTAAGAAGAGTTCATTTAGACCGGTTATGGCAGTTTAACCAATGAGCACCAGGGAAGTCTTCATGGGAGGTTTGCAGCAATGGAGTGACTGCCACATGCTATTTCAAAGCAAATGATTAACATGACAGGTAAGGGTAATCGCAATGGGGTCATGCTTTGATGTAACCTTAAAATATGAGACGCAGATCATAACAAACATAATTCAGAACTCCAGAATAAATGTATTTCAAAACACCGCCAGCCTTAAACAGATTAAAGTCTTCGCATTTGAAACAAACGAACCGTCCTTATAAACTGAATGCTTCATCTGGCCAATAGGCCTCATGTAGTTTCTGATATTGGGTATAAAAGGGCAGACGTGGCTGATTTATCACAGTCTCTGTTTTACTTGATGGTTAGCTTACCTGACACCCAGTATAAATGCCCAATGCTTGTTATCTCAGATATCAGAATCAGATGTGGCAGTGATTGGTGGGCTGAATAGAGAATATGAGCGTGAGACCGTGCTGGAGGTGCGTTTTATTGCTGTGTGTGGGGAACGATTAGCTGGCGTTGCACAGCAAGAAGAATCCAATTCGTTCAGTTGTTTAATCCATCAGCCCGTGCTGAGTTCTGATCACCGTATTGACGCACCGCAAGGCAATGACAGCCGTTCAGTGGTAATACAAGACTTTGCTATTGGCCTCTGGGACATGGCACTCATTTTAGTGGCTTATTTGATATAATAACAGAAAAACGAAGCGAAAAATAACGAGCGAGTCCATTCAGAGTGAAAGAATCCCCTGAACTCTATTGTAACCCATTCTTGCTCTTCTGATCTGGCTCTGCCTTTCCTACCGGCCATATTTCGTCCTTCCTCTCCCTCTCTCTTTGTTTCTCTAAGCCTCCATTATCGGCTGTGGGGAGTCAGGTAATCAGTGCTGATTAATTCTCTTTATTGTTGGTCGTTTGTCTGCAGAGTCTGCGCTGTCTTTTCCGCTCAGCCTCACTATGAAACAGCCAGTGATAAATGACCATCTCTCCCCTCACCCAACCCCACTATCACCACAGCAACCCCTGCTCTGCCTAAGTGCTTCTGATTAGTGACCCATGACTTGAAGGTAGAGGTGGCTTTTTGTTTTATTTCCTCATGCGACAAGTTTTGTCCCCCATCGTGCCCCTAAGGACTTATTTGGTGCTCAGATTCTTTCTGGATACATTATATACACGCATGTCATTGTTGTTCATAGGATGAACTGGGAGATGAGAGTGATAATTAGGTGTCTTTATGAGTAATTGAAACATTTAACAAATGCTTGATTTTTGCATTGATTTATGATTGTGAATATATTATGTATGTGTGTGTGTGTGTGTATTCATAAGTCAATGCAAAATATTATCAAAATAAAATATACTGTATATAACCTATATAATATTTAATTTTATTAGGTTATATAGTCTTTATATTGGTTTGATCTATCTAGCTATGCAATCATTAACCTATACAAATAAATGTGTAAAAATTTAATATTAAAATATAATTCAAACTTCATAGTAAATATAAAATATAATATTCTGTTTTAAATTTTGTTTTTATATATATATATATATATTTATATTTTAACATAATGGGATGTGGGTTTACTTGGTACCACAGTGACGGTGATTGGCAGTGGCAGAGATTGGTGAGGTTTTGTGAGTCTGGTGATCTGGATGACAATACTGAAAGTATTTATCGGCTGCTGCTAGACGCTGATGAATCTACACCTACGCAGATCGAACAAACCCCCAATCAGACCAGCGGTTTCAACCAAACATTTCTATCAAAAACTTCATCCCTCATTTATTGAGAACTTAATCTCTCTCTTAAACTACAATTAGATACAGAAAAATTCTGCGTTGTGAGTGGAGAGTGAGAGAGAGAGGAAAAAAGATAACCATTTAGCATGTGTGACCAGGTTAAGAGCAACATCTACTCTGAATCTTTCAAACAAGTGAGCATGGTTATATCCATCTTTCTCTTATACACCAATGACCTTCTTAATTTTTTCCCTCATATACTGATTTTAACCTAAAATGATCAAACTTATTGGTATATGGTTGCTCTAACGAATAGAATGCATTGGATATCACTTCAGTGGCTTCAATGAGCAAAAACTATTCTCTTTCTCTATTTGCAAATTTATTTAGCGTTTTAGGTTTTTATTTAGATAATACATTATCATCTTTAGGCAACAGAACTATCTACATCATGTACATTGCAACAACAAATTCTATTCACAACTAGGATTTAAAAAAAAATGTTTTATTAATTTAACGCTAAATATACACCAAATCACAATAAAAATGTACTTAAAAAAACATCCTCACAAATTTACAGTCCTCAACGCTCATTTTTAAGGAATGCTAATATGATAAGAATTTTTAAGAAACATTTAAAGTAATAAACTGCCAGTTTACTTTTTTTAAAATCTGTTAAACAAAAGCATGTCTATACAGATGAAGTGTTTTAAAAAGCTTCTTTGTCAGGCACACATTAAACCCAGTGTTCCCTGAATGACAGCATCAAGAAAAACACTCACATTGTATTTCACTAGCTTTTTTTTCTTTCCAGGTCAGCCCTTCAGTAAAGGAGGATTATTTAATATAACCACAAAAATTTAATAAAGATATCTAAAAAAAAAAAAACATCAAAACATCATGGACACCAGCACAACATGTAATAAAACAATAATCAAGACCTTTTTTGTTTCAATATCCATCCAAATATAACTCTGGAGGCTCGAAGCAGCAACTGGCCAGCAACTCTCTTTGACAGAGTATGCGTGGATGTGGATGTATATATCTCTTGAGTTCATATAAGAGAGTGCACATGTTACTGGTTGCTAGGAGATGAAGACGGGCTGCTACAGAGTTCTGCCTCAGGGGTTGTGACTTGAAATTCATGGGAAAAGCTTTCATTATAGGAAGAGTCTTCTTCAACAGGTGTGGCACGTCCTAGACTATTGCCCAAGCTAGAGGATGTTGTACTGCAAAAAAGAAATAAATACCATACAAATATTCATATTGCAATTTTTGTATATATTAAATGTACTGTTTGTACATTATTTGAACTTACAACAATACCCCTTTTATTCCTGAATGGCAAAAATGGCTATTCTTCTCAGCATTTATGTATATATACAGTTATAACGTTTTGCCATGGCATGATTATAGATGCATAAAACATTTAACATGCCAAATCCATCTTAAGCAATTTACATCATCTAAATAACACTGGGGAAGTTTATTATATAGCGAGACAGAGGCACACACCTTTCACAGTCTGAGTCACAGCATGTTTTGCTGTCTTCTTGATGCTGTTCCTCCACAGGGAAACGGGTATACCCGACACATCGCTGGATTGCCTGTGCAACCGTGTAATGCGTCTGTCCCTGTGCACACGCATCCATTTTTGCAATGCTCAGCTGTGACTGCAAGAACAGGTGCAGTCGACTGTCTGACAGCAATAACGGTGTCTGTAGAACTCTATAAACACAAACATTTAATTAAAAAGCATGGAGTGTAATCATTTTTAGGAACTGGTGATGAGGCTATTTAAAGAATCCATTTAAATTATTAAGCTATATTCTATTAAAAATATGCTAGACAAAAACTTTTCTTTAATTAATAAATCTCTATTACTCTAACAAACACTGCTTATAATATTTAAATCATCTTGGGCAATTTTAATACTGTGTCAAATACATAAATGTATATTTTAATGTCTATGTTTTCTATTACATTAAATATTGTGAAAATATATATGAAATAAATGCTTATGTTTAAAGTAAAAAACATATCTAAAGTAATTTTTCACCCCAGCAGCCACTAGATGGCAAAAATATTGCATTTTCTTCATCCCAATCTGAGATCAGTATGAACTGACCAATATAGGACATCAAGGTTAAATTAGGACATTTAAGTAGCTTTTATAAACATGCCTTAGAAAAAACACATTGCTGGTGTGCATCTTGAGACAAAACAATGGCACTGACTTATTTTAAGATATGTCAGTGAAAGTTTCTTCCAGTCGAAACAGCACAGAGATGCAGTATTCCCAGAGATTTAGTCTGGGAATAGGTTTAAGCCTTGTCTGTGAAACTAGGGACAAATGTCGGAATTTTTTCTAACCCACTTTAATCAAGTTAATCAAAAATGATGACAAAGAGTCACTGAAGAAACTCACGCCTCAAGAAACTGTTGCAGCCCCTGCATCCGCTGAGTGATCTGGAAATCACTACTGAGATTGAAGAAAGGATTCCCGGGAGGGAGTTTAGGTAACTCTCTACAGAAAAGGCAAAGAAAGGGAGAAATTACACTTCTACCAAGAACAATCAAGTTTTTACATGCAGGTACTTGAAATAAAAACTCTTGTATTTTTTACTGTAAATGAAAATATAATACTGCCCATAGTGTGATATCCTCAAATGTACTTACATAAGCACAGCATTGTTCTGTAGTTTTTGACGCAGCCAAACAAACTCACTATACCTCCTCCTCACACAAGAGGTCTTCTTCCGGAAACACATACTATTGGTCTATAATCAAGGAAAATGCAGTGAACTTAATGCTCTCATTGGTTAACATGTGATGCTGGAAAAAATTATATAGGCAGAAAGCCATCAGAATATAAAGTCTGAATAGCAACATTCCACAGTAGTAAGTGCAAGGCAAACATGTGGGTACTACTCACATGAAGGCAGATCTCATAGGTGATGTACGTGTGCCAGAAATCCTCCTTGTGTACCTGAGGATCTCGTACCCATACACTTACAAACTCCTGCAGTTAGAGAAAAAGTAAGTGTAAGTGTTTATGAGCAGTTCAAATTGAACAAGGAAGTAACTCAGCAGAAAGCGTGCTTGTACTTTTTCTCCTTATGAGTTACAATTTTTACCATTTTTTAAGACCAGTTTGATTCAGATTCTGCCCTTTCACCCACATTTCACGCTAACTGGAGTTTTGGAGGGTATTTGGCACCAATTTGTAATTCAGTTGGAATTTCTCAAATCAACACACTTTATTGCATCACAGCCAACAAACCCATTTGAGGTCAAACAAAACACTTCCCTAAAAATAGCTAACATATACAAGCCATTTAAGTTGCACCTAATCTGAGAAAGGTCATCTTAATTATTTCTGAATAAACATATCACAAAATAGAAGTCATTTTAATGCAAGCCAGTCTTTATAGTATTGCAAGGCTGTGAAAAGAGATTTGACAAACAAATGAACCAGAAATAACAGCAATGGTCACTGGTGGAATTATGCTACCAGTTTCCTCTTTACAAATTCCAGACAAAAGACATGATGCAACCACAGTTCAGTTACAAAGTGTAATTAAAAACTTCTTTCCACCCAAGATGATTTACTTTTCTTTCTACCGGCAACCAATTGATCTAAAAAAGCTTTTTACTGTTTGCCCACAGAGTCAAGGTTTCATCTGAAAAATCAGTTTACTGAATAGATAAGGACTGCTGAGTCACACAAAGCAAAACTAAGATGAACCGGGGAAAAAAACGTAAAGATGAAAAGAACAAGACACTGACCTTCTTCACAAGGTTTGTGTTTTCCATTTCAGAGACTTGACTGGAAAAAAAGACTCCTTGTCAGTTTGTTTGTTTGATTTTTATTTTCATACAAGCATATATGCCTATTTAATGTCAAGATCAATCTATTTTAAAAGGAAAAAAATAGGCTAGAAGTAATTTACAGCAGTACGGAAAAAACAACAACTGACCAATCATTTTTTTGTACTGTGTTGGATTTTTCAGACCTATTGCACTAAGACTAAAGAAAATAGTCTAAAAAAACAGCAGTGCAAACTGTTATTACAGATCTCAAGACAATGATGAACATCATTTTGATCAACCTGCCATAAATCAATTTGCTACCAAACACTTTACTGTATAAGTGCTTAAAAACAATGATGACTTTTCATAACTATTGAGCAGGGAAGCAAGTTGCAGTGATGAATGTGTAATGTCAGACATTAAAACAATAAATCAATTTTATGCTACAGCAAACCCAGATATTCATTTTGGCTCCTTCAATTAAATCAGGCTTTGTTTTCCTGTGTATGCTTTGCAATGACATGCTAAGTAAGAGAGAATCATTTCTAATGGAACCATAAAGCAGATCAATTTCTCTTTCTCCTGAATCCAAAAATGAAAATCCCATCAGCATTAGTCCAAACAAACAGCCATCAGTGACTTTCATTCATACAGGAACTAATTCACTTTGATGATAACTTAATTACTTAGTTGACTGGGAATCCCAGACTAATTGGCCAGCAGACAACAAGATACCTTTAACTTACACGATCATGGCTACTTTGACCTGGTTTTGGTGTTTGTTTGTTTTTTTTATTCTAAACAGCTTTTTTGTTTCTTTCTATTTTTGAATATAGGTCAATCATACGATGCACATTTTTTTGCCCTGAACATGAACACAAAAATGTCATTCATTTGACACGTGTGTTTTAATACATAACGTTACCTCTACCTCACGTGTGTTTTAATACATACCTCACGTTTAACTAAAAGGTTAATAAATTGAAGGCTATAAGTTGCAACCAAAGCTGAAAACGTTCAATGACCGGCAAAAGATCAAAGAATAGTATTAAAAATGTATGAGGAACAGTTTTCACTCAAACGAACGGCAGCTGTATCAATGACACAAAAGTTTTCTCACTCTGCTGTTTGGTACTGTTTTGTTAAGTAGGCCCTAGTTATGTTTATATATATTCTCGCGTTATATATATTTCTGATGCTACGTCAATTTTTGTTCTCACCTTTTCTGTCGTGTCGCGTATTTCTACCACCGTGATCCAGGTACTCCTGGGACTGAAAGTGGCAAACAAATTCGCGCATGGGAAATGAAAGTTTTTCTGACTCGCAGAATTTGATGTGCGCATGCGCTGCTCTCAACACGGAAAAACTGCGTTATAGCACTTCTCAGGTTATTTGTTTATGCTTGTCATGTATAATATCAGCAGGCGCGTTATCATTACAGAAAATAAAATGTTATAATGATAACAATCTACTATTACATAATAATAATAATAATAAACAATATGTACATTGATTCCCAAACATAGATTTGGGAATTTTTAAAAAGAAATGTAGGCAAATTTTTTATTTCTGGTAGCCAACTAATAGTCAGATAGAAACCACTCTCTGTGACTTCTTCCTCCTAAACCTTTGGGCTTGACTGAGGCTGATATTTAGAGACCCTCTTAATACATAGGCTATAGCTGTTGTTTCAGAGTTCAGAAATTTTCAAGGAATCAGGGAATCATTTGTTGATCCGTATCTTGCAAAACAGGTTTTTTTTTCTTTAAATAAAAGACGAACTATATAGACAGCTGTACCTATTACTGAAACTAAGTTACAAAAATGGGTCATTCAGAAATCATAATGGTTATGATTTAACCATATGACCATATAAACAAAAAGCTTCCTGTCCCCTTGGCCATATCCTTCTGAGGGATCACAGCATTAAAGGCAAGTGGCTGTAGTTTATTTACAAGTGTCTCCAAGCATTTCAGTCTGACCTGATAGTTATTCTTTTTGTTAACCTGTGACAGTGTAATTCAGGACTTGCAAAGAGCCTGTTATGGAAGGATGGGGCGATGCAAACTAAATGGGACCTGACAGTAAATCCACAACAGATTTAATGCGTTACTCATAATAGAATTTATACATATATTATTAGTGCTGTCAAACGATTAATCGCATCCAAAATAAAAGTTTTTGTTTATGTAATATATGTGTGTGTACTGTGTTTATTTATTATGTATGTATAAATACACACACATACAGTATATATTTTGAAAATATTTACATGTATTTACATGTATATATTTATATTTATATAATTTCTATTATATATACACATAATAAATATACACAGTACACACACATATATTATGTAAACAAAAACTTTTATTTTGGATGCGATTAATCGCGATTAATTGATTGACAGCGCTAATATATATATATATATATATATATAC